CAGTATACATGTGAAGTCACATTGCATTGAGATCTAACACATCGTGTCTAGTCTTTATTGATTACATCAATTGTTATTGTTATGTTGTTGTTTTTAAATCTTTTGTCTGTATCCCCTTCCCCGGTTCGAGTTGTGAGCCGCCCTGAGTCCCCTTCGGGGGAAAAGGGCGGCATATAAATTTAATAAACTGAACTGAACTGAACTGTACTTCTCTGGTCAGCAATTTTCAATGTCTGACCAACATTGTCTAGATTTTGAGTCAAAACTAGGCATTGTTAACAATTTTATTCTCTGCTGGAAGAGGATCTTCTGCTCTCAGCAGCACTATTTTCAGAAAAACCATTCCATAATATTTTCATCAAAATAAGCATTTTTGCTTTTAATTATTGGGCTCCATGTCCCCTCAACCACTCATTGTCCATATTTGATAAAACAGTGGAATGAATTGAATGTAAATTTTATGCAATTTTTATGTAATCGAGAGAAAGGACAAGGGAATAAAAAGATGTTAAGATGATTAAAGAATAAAGATAAAACGAGTCAGAAGGAAAGATGGTCTTAAATATTTATCTTGTGGATTATTCCCCAAAACATGTGTCCTTCACAATTATTTATTTAAGAAATGTTTAAGGCCATCCAATCCCTATAACAAGTATTTTTCACAAATTATCTAACTCCTTTGCAGAAAGGATGCTTGCTCTAGTGATAAAGAATTTATGACTTTACCGTTTAATTTGTGAAAGTGTGTATAAAGCAATTGAATGAAAGTCATTTTTATCTGAAATGAATGATATCTTAACTAAAGCTAGATTAATTGCAAAAGCTTTGAAGGCGTTCTTATGTATGGTAGATTAACATTTTACATTAACATTGTCTTGCTGCATCACTGCCTTTTCTTTAATATAATTCAAATTGCTTCCTAGGCTGGTGAAAAATCTATTCCAACTTGCCAGAGAAAATAAACCTTCAATTATCTTCATTGATGAAATCGATTCTTTGTGTGGTTCCCGAAGTGAAAATGAAAGCGAGGCAGCTCGGAGAATTAAAACAGAGTTTTTGGTTCAGATGCAAGGTAAGATTATTAAAGTAGTTGACTGCAGTACTTTAAAGCATGAGTGTATATTACGCAATGGCTATAAAATACAATGGTGTTTAATGAGGCTACATGCATCAATGTATTTAATATATAATATGTGGAGCTGAAAGTTTTATGGTATATTTATTTCGTAACCTTTTTGCTATACATTCTACTAATGGGCCGTTTTTTAAATTCATTTGTTTTTTAGGAGTTGGAACAGACAATGAAGGGATTTTGGTTCTTGGAGCTACAAATATCCCTTGGGTTCTAGATTCTGCTATAAGAAGGAGGTATTGACTTCTCTCTTACGGTTTGAGCCAGAATGGACTGGAAAACTGATTTTACATCACAGTTAACTCATTTCCTTGTTTATGTAAACAGAAGATTTTTTGACATCAGCATAAATGAGGTGTTATTTTATCAATATCAAAAAAGGGCACCAGGGTAGCATAACATTACATTCCTATAATAAATAGCAATAGCACTTTGACTTATATGCTGCTTCACAGTGCTTTACAGCCCTCTCTAAGCAGCTTATAGAGTCAGCCTGTTGTCCTCAACAATCTGGGCTCTCATTTCACCCACCTCAGAAGGATGGAAGGCTGAGTCAACCTTCAGCTGATGAGAATTGAGCTGCTGGCAGTAAACAGATGGATCCTGCAATACTGCATTCTAGTCATTGTGCCACCACAGTGCAGGGATGTAACTGGCAAATTTCTCTATTAAAAACATTAGTTTTGCATAACAGGAAGCAGTGACTAATAGAAAACGAGGACTGAAGCTCAAACTTGGCAATTAATACTGGAAATATTCTGCCTTAATTCTTATCCCCAGTTCTGCTTGCTGATCCAGGAATGTTATACCACAAGCGACTCCTTAGATTTAGTTTTTTTTATTTGCTGTCTTAAAAAAAATTGTTTTGATAACTTGTTTAATTGAGATTAATAGAGGAGCGTGACCATCAGGTTCAGCTTTTGAAATGTTTTTATTATGGGCCTGGATAAGTGTTAATATTTGTGATTTTTTTTTAAAAAAAAAAGGTTTGAGAAGCGGATTTATATTCCCTTACCTGAAGATCACGCAAGAACTTCAATGTTTAAGCTTCATCTTGGGACTACTAAAAATACCTTGTCTGAATCAGATTATCGGGAACTTGGAAAACGAACCGATGGCTATTCAGGGGCCGATGTTAGCGTCATAGTACGTGATGCTCTAATGCAACCAGTTAGGAAAGTTCAATCAGCGACGCATTTTAAGAAAGTGAGTAGCTGGATTTCTTTTCTTTTTTTGCCAAGAATAAAAAAAATACTGCCTAAGGCAGTGTTTCTCAACCTTGGCGACTTTAAGTCCCGTGGACTTCAACTCCCAGAATTCCCCCAGCCAGAAGAATAAAATACAAATTTTGCTGCTTGGTATAGAAAATGAAATATGAAGTGGTGGCAAGGAGAAGGCAGAATTGCTCAACTCTTATTCTCCCAAATGAGCTATATAAACCATTGCACAATAGGAACTGATATTAGATCAGAATTTCTGCTTAAGATTAATAAGAAATTACTCAGTCCCCTTAAATGAATGCAGGAGCCTAGCCTAACTGCATCCAAACTGTATCCATCTATGATACCAAAAAAAAAAAAATGTGTTTCCTATTAACTTTTTAAAATTTGGGAGAATAGATTGGGTGCTAAAGGAAGATTAGGATTAAGATTAAATTTAAGATTAAGATTAAACAATAGCAGATGTCCCAATTTTCAAAAGAAAGGAGGAAATAGTTCTGGTGGACTTATTGTAATAATGTACAACTAAAAAGGTTCCTCACACCTCTCCACTATCTCACAGTTTGGGAAACTGTGTCCTAGCAGGATTGAGAAGTAACTTCATTGATTTAGAACAGTGGATCCCAAACTTGGCAACTTGAAGACTTGTGGACATCAACTCCCAGAATTCTCCAGCCAGCAGAGCTGTGCTGGCTGGGGGATTCTGGGAGTTGAAGTCCACAGGACTTAAAGTCGCCAAGGTTGAGAAACACTGGCCTAAGGGACCTGTTTTCTGATTCCATGTCTCTGAAATGCAGCATAAACTCAAGTTTTGCTCACCTCCGTCTAATTTTGAAGTGCTAGCGGTGGAAAGCAAACTCAATCTCTATAAATTCTGTTCTTGGAGCAGAAGGGGATGAATGAAAGCAACAATTAGCTCATTAATTAACTCCAATTTTTCCCCTAAAGTTTTTCCTACAGGTTGGGGCTTCTTTTATAACTTTTTTTAAAACTTTTTTTTTCAGTTTTAAGAATTAGGGCCTGTTTCTAAATCCCAGATCTCTTGGGAGAGGAACTGTTGGAGATGCTAGTGAGAGAGTTAAATATCACCCTGCCTTTCCCAATCTCTCCATCTACTACCCCTTCGTTCTTTTACTACTACTAAAGGGGTATGTTTGGTTTAGAAATATATTAGTGTTTATTCGCTTTGGCAATGTACAATGGACTAGTACAAAGATGGCAGAGAGGTTTCTTAGACTGTTATATTGTGGTCTCATCTGATACTAATATATACCTGATTTACTCTGGGCTGAAAACTGAAGTTTAATCAAAATGTCCATTTGTGGAATGTTCCATTCTTTAATAAATTAATTTGTAATATTATTGAGCGTTACAATAGCCCATGTGGGAGAAATATCCAACTTATTTTTCCATTTCCAGCGTTGTTTATGGGGGGTGGAAACTACTCATTTTCCAATTATGACTTGAATGATATACCACCAATAAAACATATTGTACCAGTTTTCTCTATAACATTTGAGGTGTTCTTGATGTCATTTTTCCACTGAAATTGCTCCATCTCTATAGTTATATTCACATTTTGTTTCTATTTAATAATAAAAGACTTACCTGTTTCGGTTCAACTGAGTTGTATGTAGTAGACTATACCTAACAGAAACTGCTAAATGTTCACTATTAAATATTCAGTATCAATTAGAAGATTTTCAAGTTCAATGAAATTCTGGACAGTCTCCTTCACTTTTCTTGTTGCAGTGCTGCTGACTTCAGAATATTGAAAATAACTGACTTTTCTGTAGCAAAAGACTTAAAAGATCTTACTCTTACCCTATGAATAATAACGTAAAGTAAATAGACTATTGTCTCTCCACCAAGCAAATTTCTTATTTTTCAATTGTTCATAAAAGTAGAAATTCAGCGAGGAACCAGAAGCGATAAGTCTAGGTTTATTGTTTTTATTTTATTTTTTTTAACCAAATGTAAGAAAGCTTTTCAGTACTAGCCTTCTTTTTTCCAGGATTAAAGGGATATAATTCATTTTGAAGCCCATATGACACAATTGGCGTAATAGTAGTAGTAGTAGTTGTTGTTATATAATAGTATAATAGTATTCTGTGTTCTAGTTGTTTTACTAATCAGGACAAATGTAATTTTTTTCATTAAATCTAATGAGTTTCATAATACGTTTCCAAACTTGGTAAATAATTGTTCTTGAATAGAGTTTAGTTTTTTCGTCAGAGAGAGTTCTATATATTTAATCTTTTTGGAAATAATGTTAAATAAAGCTGCTTAGGCAAAAGATGAAAAGTAATTTTTGTATTCATTTAGTTACTATTTTTGTCAAAAGAGATTTCTATATATTCAACTTTTTTAGGAGCAGTGTTAAAAGCTGGTTAGATAAAAGATGAAATGCCATATCAATTAACTGACCAATCCTTGTTAATTGTATAAGCCTCTAAATATTTTCAGTCCTGACCTCAAAACTCTTGTTTCTTTCAAAGGTGAAAGGACCCTCGCTATCCGATCCCAATGTTCTGGTAGATCTCTTCACCCCATGTTCTCCAGGGGAGCCCAATGCCATCGAAATGACATGGATGGAGGTGCCAGGAGATAAACTTCTGGAGCCTGTTGTTTGCATGGTTAGTGTTTATTTACTATGAATGTTTTGACTTTGGCCTGCTACAGCATCTTAGAATAAAGATCACAGATTCAATCAGGGCCTACTTTCAGAAATCTCGAGTATCTTCTAAATCAGTGTTTCTCAACTTTGGTGACTTTTAAGTCCTGTGGACTTCAACTCCCAGAATTCCCCAGCCAGCTATGCTGGCTGGGGAATTCTGGGAGTTGAAGTCC